CACTAGTACTTTTAATCAATTGAATTTTGTTTATTGTCAGGAATTAGCGAATAATAATGATCCAGAAGGAATATTCTGGCTTGGTTATTGTTACGAGTATGGAATTGGAGTAGAAAAGAATGAGAATAAAGCATTCATTCATTATCAGAAATCTGCAGAGATGAATAATTCTAACGGAATGTATCAAGTTGGTTATTGTTATTATTTAGGAATTGGAGTTGAGATAGATAAAAATAAAGCATTTATACATTATTTAAAATCCGCCGAAATGGGTAATCTTAAGGGAATTTTTAAAGCTATCGTATGTTACTATTATGGAATTGGAGTGAAAAAGTGTAGAGTCAAATGCTTTGAGTGGATTAACAAGTAAATCATTTCATTATAGCATGTTTGAATTTTATATTTTGAAAATAGATATTCTCAACAATTAAGTCTTTAGAAAGTAAGTATAATATCAATTAGGGCAGTGACAAATATTACGTAATATTCTGAGGGGGGCCTTGGACATCTTAGAATAAATTTATAAACTAGCCAACCAAATTTCTCTTACGTAGGGGGAGGGTGGTAGAGGGTATAGTAAAAAAATATTACGTAATATTTGTCATCACCCTTACATTAAAGCATAAATTTCCAATACTAATGACTTAAAATCTTTTTTTCATTAATTTAGTTCGTAAGTATTAATCCAAGTATTTAAAAGAAAGCAATTCTAGTTCGTGAATATTTACTATTTAATTCTATACTATTTGTGTTAATCTAGTCTGTGAGTGTAAAAGAACTTATTAATGTAAAATATTTAAAATAAGCTATTCAATTCATGAAAATTTATTATTTAACCCATTTGATTCGTTAACTTAGGGAGTAAGTATAAAGAAAATTTATTAATCAAAAGTATTTAAAATAAGCTATTCAAGTTCATAAATATTTATCATATAATTTCATTTTATATATTTAGTGAGTGAGTATAAAGAACATTTATTAATCTAAGTGTAAAAGTATTGAAAATATATATTAAAGTTCACTATTTCATTTTGCTCTATTCGCGTCAATTTAGTTCGTAAGTATAAAGAAAGTCATTAGTCAAGTATTTTTTAAAATAAACTATTCAAGCTCATAAATAGTTATCATTTATTTCGTATTAATTTAGAAAGTGAATATAAAAAATATTTGTTAATCTAAACATTTAAAATAAGCTATCCAAGGTCATAAATGTTTACTATTTAATTTTTTTATTCGTGTTAATTTAGTTTGTAAGTATAAAGTGTATTCATTAATCTACTAAGTAATTCGAGTTCATGAATATTTATTATTTATTCGCGTTATTTAGGGAGTGAGTATAAAGAAATATTTATTACCCTGAGTATTGAAATAAGCTATTCAGTTTATAAATGGTTAATATTTGATTTTTATTTTATTTGCGTTAATTTAGAGAGTAAGTATAAAAAACATTGATTAATCTAAATGTTTAAAATAAGTTATTCAACTTTTTGAACATTTACTATTTAATTTCATTCTAGAATGTAAGTATATTGAGTTTATTAATCTAAGTATTTAAAATAAAATATTCATGAATATTTACTATTTTATTTGCTTCAATTTAGAAAGTAAACATAAAAACTATTTATTAATTTAAATATTTAAAATGAGTTCATAAATACTTATTTTTCACATTAATTTAGGAAGTAAGTATAAAGAACATTTATTAATCTAAATACAGAGTATTAAAAATGAGTTATTTAAAGTCATGAATATTTACTATTTGATTTCATTTATTTAGGGGGTGAGTTTAAAGAACATTTATTAATCCAAGTATTTAAAATAAGCTATTCAAGTTCATAAATGTTTACTCTTTAATTTTATTTTATTTATGTTAATTTAGAATGTGAGTATAAAAACATTTATTAATAATTTAAGTATTAAAATAAGCTATTTAGCTTAAATATTTACTATGTAATTTCATTTTATTTGTATTAATTTAGGAAGTGAGTATAAAAATATTTATGAATCTAAGTTTTAAATGAACTATTTCACAAATAAATACTATTAAACATTATTCTAGATTGTGAGTACGAAGAACATTTATTAATCTAGTATTAAAAAAAGCTATCAAGGTCTATAACTATTTACTATTTAATATTAGAAAGTGAGTATAAAAAATGTTTATTAAACTAAATACAGAGTATAAAAATAAGATTTAAAGTTCATGAACATTTACTATTTAATCTCGTTTTATTCATATTAATTTAGAAAGTGAGTATAAAGAACGTTTATTATCTAAGCATTTAAAATAAGCTATCCAAATTCATGAATATTTATTATTTAATTTTATTTTAGATTGTTAGTATAAATAACATTTATTATCTAAATAATCAAAATAATCAAAATAAGCTATTCAAAATTTACAAATATTACTATTCAATTTCATCTTATTTAGTGAGTGAGTATAAAAAGATTTATTAATCTAAATACAGAGTATTTAAAATAAGTTATTTATTTAGGGAGTGAGTATAAAGAACATTTATTAATCCAGAATATTTAAAATTAGCAATTCAAGTTAATGAATATTTACTATTTAATTTCAATTTATTCACGTTAATTTAGTATGTGAGTATAAAGAACATTATAAAATAAGCTATTCAAATTCATGAATATTCACTATGATTTTTATTTATTTAGCGCGTGAGTATAAATAAATTTATAATCCTACTTATTTAATAGACTATAAATATTTATTACATCATTTTATTCACGTTAATTTAGGAGGTGAGTATAAAGAACATTTATTAATCCAAGTATTTAAAATAAGCGATTCAAACTCATGAATATTTAATACTATATTTAAATTTTATTTATACTATTTAGCCGGTGAGTGTAAAAATTATTTGTATTTAAATTTAAGTATTGCATAAATTATATGAAATAACTAACATTAGATATAATATGATCGATGAACTGATAATTATAAAGAAACTCCAAGTATGGAAAATGCAAGCGCTGTAATGAGGATAACACAAGTGAAGCATGGTGTTTCACATGCGATCCAGACATGACAATTCGAGAATGGACAAGTGGAAATAAGGATATTGACAATCTCTTGAAAAATTTTCAAATTAGAGCTAATAATTATGAATGTATGATTGAATGGATTCCATTTGATAGATTAGATAATATTGAAATAATTGGCCAAGGAGGGTTTAGTACGGTATATTCTGCAACCTGGTTAGATGGTATGCAAAAAATTGAAAATATTAAAAAAAGCAGAGATGGAGACGATGCTGATATCGAAGAATATGTAAGATCGCGTGAATCATCAAGTATCGTTGCACTCAAGACTTTATTTTGTCCTAAAGAAAGCCCTCATTACTGTTTAAAAGAAGTAAGTTATTATTATTTTTGGGTGGTGCGCATTTCGCCGACAATTAATGTTCATTTCGCCGACAATTAACTTACCGACAAGTTCATTTCATCGACAACTATTTCACTGACAGCTCATTTCACGATAAAGTAATTCTGGTCATTATTGTTAGTGTTAAGAGTTAAGGTTAATTTATAAAAAAATACTTGTCAGTGAAATGAGATGTCAGTGAAATAATTGTCGGTGAAATGAACTTGTTGGTAAGTTAATTGTCACTTGTCTGTGAATTAATTGTCGGTGAAATAATACGTATTCTTATTTTTATCGTTTGCTAAACGTATATTGAACTCATTCATTTATATGATTTAAAAGTTTGAGAGTCTCATAAAATGTGGATTTTGGGGAAGTGGGCTTAAAATATATGGATTGACTCAAAACACAAATATAAATGAATATTTGATGGTATTCCAATACGCAAATAATGGAAATCTTCATAAGTTCTTAAGAAACAATTTTCAAAATCTTACCTGGAAGACTAAATTAAAACTTTTGCTAGATATTTCACTTGAACTACGTAATATTCATTATGCAGGATATATTCATGCAGACTTTCACAGTGGTAATATTTTACAAGATGAAAGTATTAGTAAAAGTCTGCAATCTTATGTTTCAGATCTAGGACTGTCTAAAAAGTATAATGAAATTGATTCAGAAGGCAGTATTTATGGAGCCATGCCTTATGTTGCTCCAGAAGTTTTGTCAGGGCAAAAGTTTACAAGAGCGGCTGATATTTATGGTTTTGGAGTCATCATGTCAGAGATGTCAACCGGACAAAGACCTTTTGATGGTTACGAATTTGATATGGGTCTTGCAATGAAAATTTGTGAGGGGTTACGGCCAGAATTTGCTCCTGGGACTCCAGATTGTTACATTAAATTAGCTAAGCAATGTATGAATTCTGATCCAACAAATCGGCCTACTGCATATGACGTTTGGAAAAAATTTAGCGAGTGGAATAAAAACATGAATGATTCAGACGATGGAGATGCAGATAAAATTAAAATGCAATTCTTCGAGGCTGACAAAATAGTAAAAATATTGCCAATTGTCCCACCAATACATTCTGATTTTATGTATACTAGCAGTATGATTAATATACAAAAAATTTCGAGTACAATTAAAGGTATTTAATTTTAAAACTTACAATGTATATATTCTTATTAAATTTTTGACATTGTTTTTAGTGAACAGGCCTATCGATTCTATTGAAGCATCTACCGGTAATTACTATATATGCTTATTATGAATCATGCCTACCATGTTTTGATAGATTCTTAATAAAGGTTTGAATTTGTTTTTAGTGAGCAAACCTCTCGATTCTATTGAAGTTTCTGCTGGTAATTACGATGTTAAACTTTTTAAACAAAATTTTGCTTGATATGCTATTATTAACTTTTGGATTTGTTTTTAGGAAGCAAACCTATCAATTCTATTGAAGTTCCTGCCAGTAAGTACTATGGTATACTTGTTTATAGCTAAACAAATTTTGCTCACATTTTAATATATATTTAGATTACTAAAAAAAAAGACATTAAAAATAGTAAATCAAAATTTATGATATATATACATGACTGTTAGAGTAACTTCACCTCCAACGATGATAATCGCCTGAAATAAATCGACCATAACCAATTAACTGTTAGTAACCGATTATAATCAGTGTCAAATGTCCCAATGATGTGATTTTTAATGATTTTATAATTTAATTATTTAAAATAATACTTTGCAAAAGACTATTTGTAATAATATATAAATATTGATTTTACATAACTGCCATTTTACAACATTTTACAAATATTTCTTATAAATACATAAATAAATCCAAACTTCTAATTTAATACTGTATACAATAAATTTGAATATAAAGACAATATTTTGAATGATTTATATTGAATCAATATTTTTTTTAAAAAAAAACTTAATAAAATGTAAAACTAATTCTTAGATTCATTTTGAAGCAAATCAATATTAAATTTTTTCACAAATTCAACGGCTTTAGAAAAGTTTCTTAAAGCTGCATCTCTAATATATTCAATACCTTTAGCTTTATCTTTCTCAAAGTTGAGTTTTCCATTATAATAAGTATCACCTAAATGCCACATAGCAGCAGAATCATCACCATTAACAGCCATGTTTAAATATTTAATAAATTCATCTCTTTTTTCTTTATTTGCACGAAAATCAGCCAAATCATCAGTAAGGGAAAGTGCATAACGAACTTGTGCTCTTGTATCACCCATATCAGCAGCAGTTTTAAACAATTTGTTAGCCATTTCCTGATTTTTCTCAACAACATATCCTTCTAAATAATAATAACCTTTCCAATATATTGCAGTTGGATTGTCAAGATCCGCATGTTTACGAAAACATTCCCAAGCCCTTTGTCTATTATGCTCTTTGTGAGCACGAACACCTTCTTCAAAAGGAATTACGGGACGAACTGTAGAGTTTGTAGAACTTTCAGACCCCAAGTAATTATTTTCTTCAGAAACTATTTCAAGAGCTGAGTCACCAGCATGGGTAGAGTCATATTTTTTACATAATTTATCTAAACCTTCAAGCAAGACTTGAAAGTTTGGACGATTTATAGGATTTCCTTGCCATGCTAAGATAAAAATAAAAAATTAACAAAACCAAATGATCATCATAAGAATAGAAAATAAAAAAGAAAACATAATTTACTATCTGCAATTATTTGAGTATAGGCTTTAGGAATACGTAATGCACCAGATTTAATTTCAAAAACTTCTCTGCCACCTTCAATCACATAATTTCTAATAGATTGCTTGGAATGAATTTTTTCATATGGGACCTTTTGGTATGCAAGTTCCCAAAGCAACATACCAAAGCTATCAAATTGAAAACGAAATTTAATAAATTTTATTTTAGCAATTACATCTACATAACAGATAAATTAAAAGAATCTTAATATTACCTATAAACTTCACATTTATGAGTATACGGTTCACCTTTCATCTTCTCTGGAGCCATCCAAGGAAACATTTCAATAGGATTGTCGATATAAGTTGTTTCTTGACCCGTTTTACGGCAAAGTTCAAAATTTGTTATTTTAGGTTCTAATCTATCAGTTAGCTACACACAAATTGATAACTTTAGTTAAAACATTAAAGTAACAACTTTTTAGCAATAATGAATGGAAAAGAATTACCAAAATGTTTTCACATCGAACATCGTGATGAAGAACACCCACATAGCACAGAAAATTGAGACCATGACAAATATCACGCGCAATTTGAAGCTTTGATTTCCATAAAAGCGGCTTTGTTGAATAATATTTTTTCAAGTTTCCTTTATCAGCCCAATCATAGACCAAAACAGTTTGACTATCCACATTTGAAATACCATGAAACTTAATAATATATCTACATCGTTGTAATTCATTTAATATAGCAAGGCGACCTTGCTGTTTGTGAAACTGTGGTGAATCATTATTCAAAATCTCGAATGGTTTACAAGCGACGTCCATTGCTAAATAAACCTTTTTCTTAACTTTGCCATGGGATGCGCCTCTTCTAGGATCAGTAATTTCTTTAGGAACAATTTGTGGAGCTTTAAATGTGTTCCAAACATTACTCTTAGAATCGTTATTGAGCACTTCATTTGCGATAGCAATTTTTTGTACATGTTCAGCAGTGGTTTCTACGCAATCTAATATTTTTTCTAAATACTATAAAAAATTAAAGTAAATGTATATACATAAAGTTATCATATTAAGAGAATTAAAGTTAAAGTGATATATAATAGATTTGTATCTAAAAAAAAAAATACCTGTTGCATCTTATTAAGATCTTTTTCAATTTTTTTATTTTCCTCTACTTTATCAATCATTTGGTTAGCGATAATTGAAAATTGTAAATCATTCATTGATTCATTAAAGTCTTGTCTAAGTTTATCAATATTTTCCCTGATTTCAGTAGCGTTAAAAAATCTTTTTCTTTGATTCATTTGAGAAATATCTAAAACAAATTTTTTTATACTACGAACAATATTACTAAATTTTACAAGAGCATCAAGAAAAGCTTGATCTTGAAACTTTTCTATATTAGATTCTTTAGAAGTTGTCAATCTTTCGATAATGAATTTAGCAATCCTCATTCGTTCTACAAACACTAAACAAATATTTTTATTGTATTTAGCATCTTCATAAATTTTAATTATAGCATTTGCAGCACTTAATATGATCTCAATATATGGTACGAAGGGTTTAAATATTTCAGTTATTGTTCCAACTCCGTTGAAAACCGTTTTTGCAGTATCAATTTTTTCACTAGAATTATGTTCTTCATTTTCATCTTGTTTTTCATCTTGTTTTTCATCTTGTTTTTCATCTTGTTTTTCGTTTTGTTTTTCATCTTGTTTTTGATCCATTGCGATTTTTATGAAATATATTCAAATCTAATTTATCCGAGAATGAAAGTTTGTTGCAATTTTGTTAGGAGTTGAGTTCATTTATGGTGTACGTCACACATTATGGGTGTACAAAATGATAAAAGTGAAAAACTACATCAAATGTATACCAACTTTGGCAGATTGAACAAAATTGTACATCGTAACTAATATAAGTTTTTCGTGAATGTCATGTTTCACTCACAAAAAAACAAAAGTTTTTTTTATTTTCCACTTCGTAAGAACTTTAATCTTTTACCATGTAAAAGAATCAAAAATACTATACTGCTTAGAAAACAAAATACTTTACTGAATGTCATAAATGTTCAATACTATAATATTATATTATATTGAACTCAACCCGTTGGCTAGATAAGTGGATAAATATAAGTGTCATTGATTAATTAATAACTAGAAAAACGACTGAAGTTTAATAATGTCAAATATTTATATAGCGGAATCGTACATTCGATACTCCTGATCATCTTTATGACTGCATTCCATTAATTTGATCAATTTGAACGTGAGTTATTTTTTTTATATTGAAATATATAATATAAATCTATTCTATAATCTATCATTTCACATAAGTAAAAATCCCGCACGTATCTACACAATAAACTCAACTTGAACTGTCAAATTTAATAAAAAATTTTTTAAAATGCACCCTACAGATATCAAAATTCCAACATGAAACATGAACAATAAGAAAAGTACTTTATAATGGTCAAGTATATATTTGACCAAAATTTGAATGTGCATAGAAAGGTTGTGCATTTAGAGATGTTCTTTTAGAGAGATTTATCTGTACTTTGTTTTATTAGTAATATTGGGCTAAGAAATTTTTTTCAAATTTTCTTAGAAAAAATATTTAAAAATATTTTTATCATAATTAATATTTTTTTTTTACTTCAAATAGTATTTATTTGCCAATTGTTTCTGTAGGCAAAATTGTAACATCATATAATATTCTAAACTATTACTTGAAACGAACCCTTTAGCCTTAATTTAAAGAAGTGATCGTAGGAAAGAATATATGATTAATGTACTCGATTTTAACTTATGGTTCCACGTATGAGTATGACATGGTTCTCCCAACGAAATACGGAAGATAACCATCTAGGAACTAGTATTAGTGTGGAATGCATAACACAGGTATTTTAAGCATTTCTCCTAAGTAAAGCAATCGGTAAAAAGGAACAATAGCTACTGGTGAGGAGATAAGTGATATACCCAAACTTAATTCTCTAAAAAAAAGTTAAATACCTTAATTGTACATTGTATAAGTTAATCTCATGTGCAATTATTTTTGGTCTTCTCGAAAGCATAAATAAAACTGTGTATTTAAACAGAATTTAAATTTGTTTTCTTTAAACTATCGTTGGATACAATCAAACCTTCCTAAGTGCAACTCGTAGGGACCAAACTTTTAACATTTTTGCATTTAGAGAACAGTATTAAAAATTGCATTTATAAGCTAGTATATGTTTTGGTCTGAGATAAAGATTGCATTTAGTGAGATACGTATTACATTAGGACAGTTGCATTTAGAGAGGTCTGACTATATTTAAATAGCGTTAAAAATTCGAATAATTTATCATATAGTTGTTATTCAATTTGTGGAAAAGGAACAGAAAATTACGTATTAGAATCCTGTTTAAAAAACAAGAATATTGCATTTTTTTAATCCAAACCTTTGATTATTGAAACTATCAAAAGAAAGGTGGTTAAATACTTTTTCCATGAAACAAATAAATTGTTAAGGCTGGAAATGGATCATTTTTTAATAAAATAGATGATTACAAGTAAAGAATGCAAATAAAAAAAAATATTTTTAGATAGACGCTTAAACCCATTATAAATTAAAAGGCATATAGGCTTAATTGTAAAAATAAAACCAAAAAATCGTAAAATATAAAAATAAAATAAACAATACTGTAACTATCATCCAAACTTTATAATAAGACCTTTCAATGCTAAATAGGGAGCAAATCTTTCATCAACTAAAAATCAATTGTGCTAAATAAATGCCGTGATGCATTTTTTTTCACAAATTAACATATAATGAAACATTTTACCCAATAACTACGTGACAAATTTTAGTGATTGATATTACAAAAGAAAATAAGAAAAACGAAGTACATTTTAAGATGAAATTAAATGTTTCAAAGTTACGGAAAACATAAGTTTCTGTTTCACGAAATATACTTTACTAGATCAAATATTAAACAATATTAAATTCGTAATACCAATAATACAAAACAAAATGTTGCTTTATTAAAAATATGTTACAATGACCTCGAATTTATCGATTTTTTTTTTTTTTTTTATAGCATTAAGATAGAAAAATGGGGAAAGATTACGAGCTACGTTTTAATCAAAACTTTGAAGATATGATTTCTGCTGCTAAAATGAACAATCTTGGATACCGTTATCAATATGGAGTTGAAGTCAAAAAAGACGAACATAAAGCATTTATTTATTATCAAAAAGCTGCCGAAATTGGACATGGACATGCTGATGGAATATATAGGCTTGGATATTGTTATGAAAATGGTATTGGAATTGAAAAGGATGAAAGAAAAGCGTTATCATGTTATCAAGAGTCTGCTGATATGGGACATATTGAAGGAACTCTTAATCTAGGTCGTTGCTATCGGAATGGAATTGGTGTTGAAAAAGATGAATATAAAGCATTTAGTTATTATCAAATATATGATGAAATAGCAAATGAAGCACAATCAAATAAATCTGATGGCTATCAATATAAAATTGGGGCTGAAACGGATGAACATAGAGAAACTGCATATATTTATTACCAAAAATCTGTTGAAATGAATAATTCTATTGGCACAAATAATCTTGGATATTGTTACCAACATGGAATCGGTGTTAAAAAAGATGAATATAAAGCATTTTTTTATTATCAAAAATCTGCAGATATGGGGAATGCTAATGGAATGTGTAATCTTGGACATTGTTATAGAAATGGAATTGGTGTTGAAAAGGATACAAATAAAGCAATCACTTATTATCAAAAATCTGCGGATATGGGAAATGCTTATGGATCGGATTGGATTGGGATTTATTATCGAGATGGAATTGGAGTTGAAAAGGATGAACATAAGGCATTTATTTATCAACAAAGGTCTGCTGAGTTAGGAAGTAACGGCGGACTAAATGGTATTGGATTTATTTATGCGAGTGGATTTGGAGTTGAAGTAGATAAACCTAAAGCTTTCGCTTATTATCTAAAGGCTGCAGAGCTTGGAAATCTTAATTCAATTTATAACCTTGGATGTTGTTATGAAAACGGAGAGTTTGATGTCAAAGATGGATATGAAGCGTTTATATATTTTATTAAATCTGCAGAGTTTTGTGATATTGATAGCTTTTCTAAAGTTGGTGATTGTTTTCGAAATGGAATTGGCGTAGAAAGAGATTTACAGAAAGCTGATTATTGGTATCAGAAGTAAGTATTTCAGATCAAATTTGTAATATTCATTTTTATAATTTTAATAAATATAATTAAATAATTGTTAGAGCAAAGAATGTTGAAATACGCAAACAGACAGGTAATTAATTTAATTTATTTTTACATATAATTCAATTTTTAATAATCGAATTAATATCTTTTTAGCAACGAATAAATTGGATCTTTTAAAGTACAATATCGGTGATGATTTTATAAATCTGCTTGGTGAAGAAAAAAATCAATTGTTATAAATTCAGTATAATGAACTTAAAACTACTGAAAAGATTGGAAAGGGTGGATTTGCAACAGTATATTATTCTACATGGCGTGACCTAAGTACGGATACAAATAGAGAATTTGCAATTAAAATATTTCATGGATCTAAATATTGTCATGGAGATTTTTTAAAAGAGGTAATTATTTTATTTTGAATTTAACGCTTGTAGTCGATTTGCAATAATCAGATAGTAATTCAATCAATTTGTTTAATTATATCATTGAAGCTAAAAGCATATTGTGATATTAGAGATAAAAATCCATCATTTTTAAAATGTTATGGAATTACAAAAGATGATAATTCAGATTATATACTTATTTTGCAATATGCCAAAATGGGTTCTTTGTGTAATAATCTTCATTCCATATCACAAATGAATTGGAAAGATAAGTTAACATTGTTACATTTATTGCTTATGATCTTCAGATAATCCACTCTCATAATATTATTAACCGAGATTTACATAGTGGAAATATTTTACAAGATGATTTAAGTAATGCATATATAGCAGATTTAGGACTTTCAATAATGGCCAACATAAAACTTAAAGAAGGAAAATCTAATGGAGTTTATGGAATTTTGCCATATGTGGCTCCGGAAGTATTGAATGGAGGAATGTATACTACAGCATCAAATATTTATTCATTCGGAATTATAATGTGGGAAATTTTGTATGGAAGATTAATTTCTTATAACCAGAATATCGGACCATCTCTTCAAGAAGACATTTGCTACAATGGATTGCGACCAAATATTATAGATAATTCTCCGAGAGATTATATAAATTTAATGAAAGAACGTTGGAATGAAGTACCAGAAAAACGTCCATCAGCAGAAGAAATTTGCAAAATTTTTACTGAATTGCAACGTGATGATAACATCATGTTAGAATTATCTGAATCTGGATCAATAATTAACAACAGTTATAAAAATATACATCAGGAAACAAGTTTAGAAATATTAAGTGGGAGTAAATTTATTCCTTATACTAAATCACTATCGCAACCTTGCTACAAAGGTAAAGTTTTTTGGCATATTTTTTTTGTTCAAAGTTAATATTACTGATTAATTAATCTATTAATAGGCAGTAAACAAAGTTACTTTAATATAGACAGTCAATAATCTAATTTTTTATTTAGAACAAGGTTCAAGGATCTATATTGAGAAAAGGTGTTTGATTTGTTATTTACAAAATTTGCTATGATGATTTGTTTAGATGTTTATTTATATATAAGCTATATACTTGAACATGATTTTAGTAATTAGAAATCAAGTTGTATTGTCTGATAATTATTTGCTGATGAATTAACGGCTTCCATATTTATAAATATTCACAAATTTGAATGATTTATTCTAATACCTCAGTTTATAAATATTCTTTTTTTTTTTTTTTGCTTATATACTAAATTAATATGAAATTATTGTGAACAAGTGATCTCTATACTCAAATAGTTAATACAAGTTAAATAAAACGGATGACAATAAACCACTATGCCATGCAACCTGTAAGGATATTTGCAAGGTTTTTAGTATAAATTTTATAATTCAGATTAACTCGCATGTTTTATCCCGTGCAAAGCACGAATTTCTGCTAGTAGTAAAACTTTCCTCTTGGGCATTGTTTCTTTGTAGACAAAAGATAGTAAATTAATGGACGGCACAACAAAAGTATATAATCAAATATGATAAGTTAAATATATCATTATTTAGAGGTTTCCATTCAAATGCAAAAGATAAAAATTCATTGATTACAATGCACTGATGTGAGTACGTACTCGCTCATACATTGAACTGTTTTATTGCGGTTTGCAAAAAAAGAAAAAAAAAAAAGAAATGCTTATGATCTACAGTTTCACAAAATTTGCAAACCGCAATAATTGATATGATTGGATTGATGCATGCATGTCTAAATTGCTCAAACTATTTGGGACGTCCCACTACGTGATGAATAGTATCACACGATTTCGGCAACTGGAGGATCTCAAATTTCCGCGTCGAAATGCATCGGAGTTAGAGTTAGGGTTAGCCATACTAGTTAGCAGGAGTAAAATTATCAGCCGGGCACTTTTACTTAATGACGACTGGTTTCGTAGTGTTAGTAAAATTTTTAGTGATCTTTGAGCATTCAAAACTGGAATTTGGGGGATTCCTTGTATGAGGTTTAAATACCTAATATGGTACTATTCATCACTTAGTTTGAAATAATTTGGGTAACATCGTTACAGTATTAATGCATGTTACGTAAATTCAATGATTATCGTTATACTTTTTCTTCCAAAATGGCTAAAGATTTATTCAAAAAACTTTCTAACGATTTAACAAATCTTCTTGAAAATGGAGAAGATTATAACGTATTAATTGAAGTTGGTCAAAAGCCAGATCCTAAGATGTTTAAAGCACATTCAGTTATCCTGAATTCTCGATGTTCTTATTTTCGTGAAGAGCTACTTAAGACAAGTTACGATGAAAAGAACGTTAAAAAAATCAGAAAACCAGATATTTCTGTTGACGCATTTGAAATAATTATCAAGTAACTATCGCTACGTTAATATACCATAATTCTCTGATCAAAGATCACAGGAGATTAATGAATAGCATCCTGGACCGTATCTGTACAGGCGGAAATGATGTTTTCGCTAGTATCTAACGGCTCAAGATATTATTATTTAATTTTTATTTTAAATTTTTATTAAATTTAAATTATCTGTTATATAGATATATTTATGGTGGTATTATTCCATTTGATGGAGTCGATGCGTCTACAACACTTAGCCTTTTAACCATCGCTAATGAGTTCGGTTTTAAAGAATTGCTTGATATTGTACAGTTACAATTGGTTAATAATCATGCATCCTGGATGCGTCGAAATTTTGAAAAAGTTTATAAATTAAGTCTGGAAAATGATGATTTTATTGTTTTACAACAATTTTATAATGATATTATTGCCAAATATCCAAGCATTGTTTTTGATTCTGAAGATTTTATAAAATTTTCGGAAAAGGCCTTAGTCGCCCTCTTAAAACTTGACAATTTAAAAATGAATGAAGGAAAAATTTGGGACTACGTCATTAAATGGGGAATTGCCCAAAATACAAATCTGGATTCCAATCCAGCACAATGGTCTGATGCAAATTTTTTAATTTTAAAAACTACGCTTCAAAATTGCCTACCTCATATTCGATTTTTTCAAATTACTGGTGATGATATTATGGATAAGTTATATCCATATCAAAAAATTTTGGAGCCTAATTTATGGAAAGATATTATGGCTCGGTTTGTATCTCCAAATAAGGCTATTACTTCGACCATTTTACCTCCTCGCATAATTTTCGACGACACATTGCCATCAAGAAATACAACAACTTCAAGCGGAAGTGACATTCCTTTTACGTATTCCAGCAATAATACAAGTTTATTTAATGATTCACCAAATTCGAGTGGTAATACAAGTTTATTTAATCATTTATTTATATACAAATTATTAATACGCTGTTTTATATTCTGTTTATAATTATTAGAAAGTTAGTATTATTCAATTCTGTAATTACAGTAGTTTTATTACGTTTATAACTATTATTGTTTACTAGTTTACTATAATTTGTTTTCTTTATTTCTTATCAATATTTGCTTTTACATATATATATTTAGTGACGAAAAATCCATTTGATTTTAATACTCAAAACGGTGAGTAAGATAGCATAAGGCCAAGCTTTATAACTTAATTTATTAATTTTATCTTTTGCATATATAATATAGCAACGACAAATCCATCTACTTTATTTGATTTTAATACTCAAAACGGTGAGTCAGATAGCATAAGGCCAAGCTTTATAAGTCAATTTGTTAATTTTATCTTTTGCATATGTAATATAGCAACGACATATCCATCTACTGGAGATTTATTTGGCTCTATCTATGAAAAACAAAAGGGTGAGAAACAAAATACAGTCGTACCCCCTAAGTGCACACCCTCTTGGTCCAAATAATATAACAATTATGAATTTTAACACCTCTAAATGCACACTCCTTCTAAGTGCACATTTTCGGCTTTTTTTACTATGGTCCCGAGGGCGTGCACTCAGAGGGGTGCGACTGTAGTATACAAACCCGAATTTTATTGCACTGTTGTCTTCGTTATACTCACATCCATACTACTCGAAATATAAAGAAAGGCCTAAATTTTAATTGTTAACTTTATTTTTGCATATATAATTTAGCAATGACGAACCTTTATCCTAATTTTGGTCAAAGCGGTAAGAAAATAATATAAAAGTTCTAAAGTTATATACACTAGTTTTATTTATGCATATATATTTAGAAACGACAAATTCATATAATTTTGGTCAAAGCAGTAAGCAAAATAATATAAAAGATCAAAAGTTATATATACTATATATATAGTTTATTTATGCGTATATATTTAGCAACGACAAATTCATCTGCTTTGGACTTAATTGATTTTAGCACTCAAAATGGTAAGTAACAAAAACTGTATAAAGATCCGAGTTTTGTAAGCTAATTTTATTCTTGCGCATCGATATAACTTAGCAACGGCGACTTTGACTGCGCCTGAATCACATACAATTATAGCGCTTTATGATTTTGTAGCAAGTAACAATGATGAACTAAGTTTTACAACAGGCGATATTCTAATAGTGAAACATAATTTCGATGATGGATGGATAACCGCTGAATTAAATGGAATAACCGGGCTGGTTCCAGGAAACTATTTCGTTTATGATCAGAGCTGATTTATTGCTTAACGTGACTTATCTTGTGCTGTCTGTCTATTTTACGTGATATTGAACCAATCAAAATTCTAAACTAAAACTATCTTTCTAATAATTTTATTTTATTTTCATTTAATAAGTTTTTTTTAAATATATATATATATAACATTAGCCAGTGAGCGAGAGGCCATTTATTAGTCACCATATTTAATCTATTCAATTTCAAGTGTTTTATTACCATCAAAATAAGTCTTATTTAATTTTATAAAGCCCATCGTTGGGAATAAATTATTTATTATTATTAAATAAAAATGATTTATACAGTACCGGGTAAAAGGCATCCAATCCTTGACTGGCTAATCTTGGTGTAATTAATTCTGATTCGTTAACTAAATTTATATCTTTCATTCTTTTTATATTAAACTCCAATTTTTTAAAATATTATTCCTATACTTTCTTAAAACAAGCAAGAAAAAATCCTCTGACAGAAATGTAGTTTAGCTAAAATTCTATCAATTTGTCATAGGGTTTTTTGATTTATCTTGTTTTAAAAAAGTTATACCAATTTAAAGTTTTTACTAATAAAGAGTGGATGCGCATTTTACTGTCCGGTACAACTCGTACAGCAACCTCCCCAAAATTTTCCGCACTCCGCTAATACTCCGATTTTTTGTAATTACGTTATTGATTTTTTGATGTTGCTTATTAATTAAATAAAATTTGATTAATATTTGAATTGTAATAAGAAAACTTTTTTGTTATTCAAATTTACAATGCCAGCAATTTGGCATTGTAAACTTGAATAACAAAAAATTTTTCTTATTACAATTCAAATATTAGTCGAATTTTATTTAATTAATAAGCATCATCAAAAAAATCAATAACGTAATTACAAAAAATCGGAGTATTAGCGGAGTGCGGAAAATTTTGGGGAGGTCGCTGTACGAGTTGTCCGGTACTGTATATTTATTAATAAATATACACAGTATAACAATTATATGAAATTATACGTTCTGCACTTAGTATGATTTCAAAGGTTTATCTATCACATTAATTCAGTGTAAAGTTCTGAGTTCTTAAAAGAACAGTAACTTTTTAACAAATCTTTTGTCAGCCCAGAACTATAAAAGAGCTGGTTAACTCACATAGGCTAAGATTCAGTTATTTTCATAAAGTCTGGACAATTGGAAAATTGTCTGATGCTGGCCGACGTTGGCAACTAATTAATTCCGATTTGGTAACTTATCTATCCGGTTATCAGAAAATTTTCAGCTGATCCAAAATTTATGAACAGCCGTAAGTCTTCTTTGTTATAAACATTCGTTATACAACAGATAAAATAGTGAGGCGACAGTATATTTCGGGTCGCTGATATTTTGATTTTTTTCTAAATTTTTGTGATTTAAGCCACCAAATTTATTCGTTATTTCTGAAAGCATAATTATTTGATGACCTTATATCTGAATCGGGCCTTCCAACGAAATCATAACAGGATTTTCCGTTTCAACATCATAAATGATGATGTTTAAATCTTTATTAACTCGTATTTTATTTTCCTAGTTTATTTTTAAATGTTCCATTTATCAAATTAGATACATAAAAAAACTAGTTCTATCACGACAGGTTCCCGAAAATTAATTGTCGATACAAATTTAAAGTTCACTGATGATTAGTGATCATAATAGCGGACTTTAAATATGCATCACACAACGCGACAATAATTTTCGGGAATCTATTTTTCGGGTTTACTAATTTCCCACTTTCAAAACCAATTACATCACTAATCAGGATGGCTAAAAATTTCGAGTAGCTATCTAATGCGTGCAATTAAAGAATAAATTACTTCAGTACTTCTCAAAAATTATTACATATTGATTAAAATTTTTTTCTTTTTTTTTAACATAATTCTTTCGCTGTTTGATACTAACGTTTTGCTCTTTTGAATTATAACACTTTCAAGTTTTTTTTTTAGTAAATAATTTCGATTAAATAAATTTTCGCCATTTTTATCGAATGTTACTGTAGAAATTTACTGTATTATGTAAAATTTTTAATTGAACTAAACATACATACTTTAAGTCATACTGCTATACAAATTCCGAAAACAAAATAAGAATTTTTTTTTTTTTGTTTTTGTAAGTGCATGAAAATTTACTAATTATTTAGCAACTTAGCAGTAATATTTATTTCAGTATTACTAATTAGCAAACTTGTGCAATATTGTATCAGGGTTACTGTACGATTTCCGAAAGCTATTTTCCATAATACTGAATAATTATTTCTTTCGGGAAAAAGTTTTTGAGAATTTGAGTTACATTATTGTATTAGCATTAAAAAATTTATTAATTAGCAATTAAAATTACAAGGTTGTAAACGTAGGTCTCAGCAAAATTTTTATTCTCTTGAGAACAAAGTGCCGAACAAAACTTTCTTGGTTGTGTCAGAAGCATTTATTTTCGTTAATGTTTAAATTATTTCGATCTTTTTTTTTTGCTAGCAGAAAAGAATTCTGGAAGTGCATAAATAAAATACTTTCGCTTAATAAAAATATTTGGATTTTTTTTTTTTTTATTGAAGAAAAACGATGTGGTAAGGTGGCGTGATCTAGTTTGTCCAATTAAAAACAGGATTTCACGTGTCCAATCACAACTGGGGAAATTAGGGCTCCCTATTTTTCAGGATTTCGTGGTAGAACCATAAAAACTCTTACGATCGGCCAAATACCAATCAGTGGGCACATTTACTTGACGACCTAAAACATAAAGTGTGCTTAATTAGTTGACATAGTTACTAAATTAAACTTTAGAACTTATGAGAGTGATTTGATTTTAACTAATAACTTTTATTTATTAATTACTAAATCTAAACCAGAAATTCTATTAATAAAGAAATGACTCATAAGAATTGATTGATTCATAAGAATATTTGCATACCATATTGGCGCGTTATTTTGAGACCCTGCACATTATTTTGGGATGCGCATGCGCGGTAATTCGACAAATTTGGATTATAAGAGGAAGTTCTATGAACTTAGTCTGAAAAATTCGATCAAAATATGAAATATGGTACATTTAAAGGGTGCGTTATTTTGGGACGCGTATGGGCATTATTTTGAGTCAAGAAAACAATTTTCAAAAGAGTAGGAGTTTCGAAATAACGCCCATGTGTGTTATTACGCATCAATATAGTATAAATATGAAAGTAATTACTCTGAATAATATCCTCTTTTTGTCTTGCTAGTTTGATCAATGGTTCTTAAATTTATAGCTTTTGATCATATGTATAAGTGTGTAATAACGTGCAGGGGCGCGTTATTTCAAGATGCACATGCACGATAATTCGAATCATTATGCCAATTTTGGGGAAAAAAAATTCCGGCTGCTAAGAACTTTCTTGAAACATCATAATAGAACTTGGTTTTTTTTAGATAAAGACAATATAAGGCGAATAAATTCTAGATATATTGTTTAATCATATGATAAATTTAGAGGTTGGACCTAAGCTTATTATATTCAAATTTATTCGAAGATTCAAAATGGCACATGAAAGATAATTTGGTACATGTGGAGCGTGTTATTTTGAGACATGCATGGCGTTATTTTGAGTCAAATATGCCATTTTTAGATAAATTAAAATTTTGAAATAACGCCCATATGCATTATTACACGCTTATACGGTATTATTTCTAAATATCCTGATTCTTTTCATCCTGTAATAATTAATTATATTTTCTCTTGATATTAATCGATTTTTTTTTTAAAAAAAATTTAATAGATGCTTAAGAAATTTTATTTTTTAGATCTTAATTGCTATTATATTTATAATAAGTTATCTTTAAAGAATTTTTAGTTACATTTTTTTACTAGTACGTATGTACTCAATTTTGTATGATGAATGATTATCAAATTGCATAACAATAAATTTTAAAATATCAAAATTTTCTGCACATAATCTCATCTAATTTCTTTAAAAATGTCCAAAGTAAATCAGAAATCAGACCTCGAATATCTGAACCTTGATAACTATTATACACTTCAAGACTTTGAGTTATTAAACGAACGGTTAAGAATATGTGACCTTTAAAAATTAATAAACAGCCAATTGGTCTTTTTGAATTAGATAAAGCTAGAAAGTTGCTTCCTATACCACAAACAACAATTAATTTAGAGGCTGTTGTTGCAAAAATTGCTGCTTTACTTGACCATTGGAAAGTACAAACTAGTCAGAAAGGTGTTCTTACAGCCTCCCAGGGAGGTTTTAACTTTGGTGTTAGGGAAGAATGATAAGAGCACCGGCTATAGCATTTATACCTAATAATATCTATTGTAATTTAACTGAGTAACAGCTTTGGTCATTTTGTGAAGAACCTTTTATACCAATCTTCGTTGTTGAATGTTGCTATAAACATGGATAGGAAGATCTTGATACCACTATAAACGATATTGAGATTTTATCAAATTTTGGGATCAAATATAGTATAGCGGACACCATCAGCAATATTTCCGAAAAAGCCACATCACATTATCACGTGATGTGGTGCTAATGGCTTGGTTTTCATGTAATCACAAATTAGCCACACTAGCCATTTCATGTGACCACGTGATCTGTTCGAATAGCTTCGCTAATGTGGCTCATTATGAAAACCAAGCCATTAATGCCACATCATGTGGCTTTTCGGAAATTATGCTGGTGGTGTCCGCCATACTATATTCGATCCAAATTTTGTTTTAAATGTTGAAGATATTGAAGAAACTATCACTCAGGTATACAGCATTATTTTTATTCTTATTATATCTCTTTTATTTATAACTTTTTTCGAATGTTGGAACACACCTAGTATCACCACCAAAATAATAACAAAATCATAATATTTTCGAATTTATTATTATTATTATTAAAATTGTTTATTGGAATTTACTTAAAATATTTAAATGCATATACATTTAATTCAAATTTTTTTAATACACATATAAACTTTAAATGCTACTAGTAAAATATGTTTTTGTTATAACAGCCCAAAGTTTTGGAAGTTTTTTTGCTCATTCAAAATCTTTAATGTTATCCACCATTTTTTGGATAGGTTTAAAGCTCGATTCAATGCTACGAAGTTATTTTTTTTGTTTGGGAAGATTATTAGATTTTACAAGACAATCAAACGTCTAAAATATAAAATATATTTATATAAACACGAAAATGTAGTGATAATAAAAAAAAATTTTTATATCTCATGAAGAGTTTTTATGTACTTTCTTAAAATTTCAAATTCAGATTCAGTACTCATTCCTCATCATATATGTTTTCATTTTCAGATTCACAAGGTTAATCATTAAATTATCCTGTGCATGATTAATTAAAGTTGGTCGAATATCCTTAGCTTCTGAAATAAAAAGATACTGAGAATTTCGTTGCAAATAAATTAAAATTTACAAAAAATAATATAACACAAGATGTTTCCATAATAAAAAATCTAGTTTTTTTCATCTTTCTTTCAAGTTTACAGTGACATTTACACCAACAGGTAAATGAAGTAGTCTTGATTTGTTTTTTATCGTATTTTTTATAGTATAACCATCTCCTTTATCACAAATCTTTACAATCTTAAATGTTAATAAACTTGCAAAAACTTCTTCGATGTCATTTACTTCTAATTCATTAATGATTCGAGAAATATTTACAATTATCTCAAACTTTAGAGCCGATTGTGTAGCTGCGAGCTAATAGGTTTATATCATATTACTATTACTGTATAAGAGCGAAATAATATCCACCTGTGTGCTAATTAATTGATCTGCACATCATTTTGAATACTGTATGCCCATGTGCGTTATTTCGAAATTAGAAAAGATTTTTTAAATTTAAAATAGTCGACTTTCGATAAATGCACATTATTGGGTAATAAAATATTCACTATAGAGAATAATCTATATATCAAATTAAATACATTAGACTGATAAAATTATATAAGCTTATCAATATAAGGAAAGTGCATGTGATATGCGTTAATTCAAGACATGAGCGCTAATTAGAGACTATATAAGTTATTTTTGAAGGACTCAATTTTCAAGATAACCTCATGATCATTATTTCGCGCTTATATGGTAGCCAATAATAAATTCATCTACTACTGTGACTTCAATGTATTTAATTGTTCAGATAAAGTTTACCAAGCCACCTTTAAAAACCTAATATTTCAAGTATATAGAAAACTATCTGAAATTTCTATAAGTTAATTAGAAACTTTAACATTTATATTTACTATTCTTTACTATTTTCTATTTATAAATAAAATATACTTACATGAGTAGTACTTGAAGCTTTATCTGTGAAGAACCTTCTACTGTATAGTATTCTAAATGATGGTTATATTTGGCTTGTAAATGGCTCGCTCAGCTCTGCTTGATGTGCCGAAAGATCGGTTCAGCTTGATCGCTGTTAGCTGTGAGCTGTGCCAAGCCATTCACATCACTAGGTTTAACTGGATTAGATCATATCTTAAAGATTCAATTCTTCAGGGATTGTTTCTAAAAGTGTATCATGTCACCAAGTCCGAATTTGAAATTTATAGTAATAGAATATTATGTTATGAAAATCATCATCCAATAGAATCATGATATTGTGAATAGATGCAAGATTAATATTGGTATATAAACCATACCTGATACACTACGTTCCTAGTATATTGAATATTCTATGATAGAATCAATATGACCAAATGACTCGCATCATAAATATTAGAAACTAATGTTTAGTAATAGATTAAACTGTAGTCCTGCATAAATTAAATAATCTCACTTATTAGAGTTCTGACCCAAAGATTTTCAATACAACTTAGATCTAAGTTTATATAAAGTTTGTATAATTTTAGCCAAATAGATATATAAAATAGAGCAAAATTTAAAAAAATTTACTAAATAAAAATGCAATATTTGATGAATTTCTATATAAAATTTCCTTTTTTGGTAATATATGAGTTATATCAAAGTTCTTCGAGGACCTAGTTCAACTCTAATCTTTACATGTAGTAATTTGGAATTTTTAGCTATAATATTAGTTATATATAATATTATGGCAAATTAGAGGCATTTTGCAAAATCTAGTAATACTATTTGGGTTTTTATATAAGCTCAAACTAGTAGGTTTGGAGTGCAACCCTATTTGACTGGCCAGTTAAAGAGTAAAACTATAAAAAATTTATTAGCCAAATAATGATAACTATTATATTAGATAAATATCATTTCTGATGGTTATTGCTTTTAATCTTTTAGATAATTATTATTTAGAGTTTAATCATTGATGATAATCACCCATACTGATGATTATTGATATTTTTTTATTGATTATTATCGATTATTGGTTAGTAATCTTTAGTAATTAGCTAAAAAAGTTTTCTGATACATATAAGAGATATTTAGAGTCTTACTATAAATAATTTTTTTTAAAAAAATTATTTACAAGTTTTAAAAATTTCTTCAAGAATTACTAAACTAAATTAGCTAAAATTTTAATATATTGTAATCTAATATTATATCTATCTTCAATAAAATTTTATCTAATTTTGTTTGGTAGTTGTTAAAAAATTAGAGCTAAATATTAATATATATATTAACAAAATGACTATATAAAGAATATTTTATATAGATTTTATATAATTGGTTTTTTAAAAAATATAATAATAACTATAAGCCAATTGTGCTTATAAAGAGGTATAATCAATATAAAAAAAGTTAATAAAATAAAACTGTGATTATATTGAGTTTGTAACTATAGAGAAAATAACTATAGAGAGGTTAAACTGTATACTAAAAGCAGTATTTTTTACCAAACTAGACTGTTTCTTTGACTGTTACTTGTTTAAACTATCCAATCCAATGGAACTATATAAATTGAAACTGAAATTTGATTAGCAACTAGAATTGCCTTTTTTAAAAGAACCAAAATTATCATATAAATTACAAAACACTTTATTATGTAAACTCAAAATTTTAATTAACAGCTAAATTAGTAATATTTAATAAAAAAAATTTCTACATAATACATAAAAATTCTTATAAAATATTTTTGAAAATCAAAAAATCTAATCTTTAAAACTTTCATCAAGAATTTTTTTTGTTCTATATTTTTCAATATCAAACACTTCACTGAATTATATTAATTTATTGCATTTCATTATCAGGAATTTCAATATAATCCATAGGTTGACTTATTGCCATTACTAAAAACAAATATATTATAAATAAAGTCTTAATCCGATTTGAAAGATATAAATAAATATAATTACCCGCATTTACTATATTTACAAATTTTATAATTATTAATATGCTAATAATTTTTAAAATATAAAGAAATAGACTGTGTAAATAGAAACAGGCAGAAATCTTTAAATAAATTATAAAATCTTTTATACTTATAAATCGATATTCTTTAATGCTATTTAATAATAATTTAGCTGTCAAAAGAAAGCTTAGATATTAGACTTTGAAATATGAGCTGTAAAAGTTAAGATAATAATTTTTTTAAAGTCTGTCTGCTTGCTTCTACTAACGGCAACCCAAATATTATTATTACCTGGTCTAGGGAGACTTTGAAATTTTAAAAGTCGACTAGTATAAATAGCTTGTTTGTGTGTCTGATAATTGATTTGTGCTGATTTTGCTTGATTATATATTGAAGTATTTTTAGTTAAATTTTTAATTTCCTCAATTTGTTTGTATAATTCAGTTTTTTCGCTTCTTATATCTTCATAATACTTCTCAATCACACTTTCTAATTCTTTAGCAGTTGGTCTGTTTTGAGGTTCCGCATCCAAGCATTTATTCATCAAATCCAAAAACAATCCGGGGACTTCGCATCCAATTTCAGGTCTGAGACCATTGCAAATCTTAAATGCAAGGTCTCTGTCGTGGGGAACATCATAATACGGAGGATACCCAGTAAGAACTTCTGACATAATTATTCCGAAAGAATAAATATCTGATTTTTGAGTGTACTCTTTTCCGTCTGTATATAATACTTCTGGTGCGATATAAGGAAGCACACCAAAAAGTTCTTTAGAATTTGAGTCTTGTGATACTGGCTTACATAAACCAAAATCAGTAATGTAAGAACTATACATATTTTCGATTAACTATATTTCCGGAATGGAAATCTTTATGCACTAAGTTGGCTTTGTGAATTTCTTCAAGACCAACGGCTATGTAATGTAAGTTAGCTATTTTAGAAGCCCAATTTAATTCATTATATTTAATATCTAATAATTTTCGGAGACTTCCTTGCTTTGCATACTCCATGACCATCATATAATTACCATCTTTTGGGTTTTTGGTTATTCCGTAAATCTCAATTGCCGAATTGCCTCCAAGTTTATGTTGATTTTCAACCTAAAATAATAATTAGATAAATGAAAAATAGTAATAATGATAATAAATTTTGATATATACTTCTTTTAAAAATTCTCGTTTGATATCTTTAGAATTATCAAGACTTTTTAAACAAACGTCTCTTTGCGGACTTCTCTTCCAATCATTATTCATCCAACCAAGTCCTATGATATATCCGTCAATTCATACTGCCTTAAAAACGGTGCCAAAGCCTCCTTTAGCAATATATTTGATATTTGTGAATTTATTAAAAGGTATCCATTCGATAACGTCTTTATAACTTTCTACATTAAGTTGACTTTGTTTAATAAATTCATCAATATAGTTATTGCCACTTGTCCATTTATGAAATTTCTTTCTAAATCTTAAAGATTAAATAATAATAAATATAATAATGTATTAAGAGCTATAATTTAATAATTAATATATACCCTCTGTTATGAGTTAACATGCAATTAATTAGGGATGAATTATTATTATTTTTATTATTATCGTTTAATGTAAAAAAAAATTCAGTTACAAAACTTACTCGCTATTGCGGTGACATATATATGTGGTCAAGTCAGTTGTATTGATTTCTATCATGTAAGAAGTTTATTACAAAACTTACTAACTATTGCGGTATGTAGTTGAGTTAGTTTGTATTGGAATTAACAGTCGTGATTTCTATTATGATTTGCTGTAAAAAATTTTGGCACAAAACTTACAGACTATTGCGGTACGTAGTTAAGGTTGAGTTAGTTTGTATTGGAATTAACAGTCGTGATTTCTATTATGATTTACTGTAAAAAATTTTGGTACAAAACTTACTCGCTATTGCGGTACGTAGTTAAGGTTGAGTTAGTTTGTATTGGAATTAACAGTCGTGATTTCTATTATGATTTGCTGTAAAAATTTGGTACAAAACTTACCGACTATTGCGGTACGTAGTTAAGGCTGAGTTAGTTTGTATTGGAATTAACAGTCGTGATTTTTATTATGATTTACTTAAAAAATTTTGGTACAAAACTTACAGACTATTGCGGTACGTAGTTAAGGTAGAGTTAGTTTGTATTGGAATTAACAGTCGTAATTTCTATTATGATTTACTGTGCAGTCGTGATTTCTATTATGATTTACTGTAAAAAATTTTGGTACAAAACTTGCTATGGCGGTACGTAGTTAAGGTTGAGTTAGTATTGGAATTAACAGTCGTGATTTCTATTATGATTTATTGTAAACAAATTTTGGTACAAAACTTACAGACTATTGCGGTACGTAGTTAAGGTTGTGTTAGTTTGTATTGGAATTAACAGTCGTGATTTCTATTATGATTTACTGTAGAAGATTTTGTTACAAAACTTACCGACTATTGCGGTACGTAGTTAAGGTTGAGTTAGTTTTAATGGAATTAACAGTCGTGATTTCTATTATGATTTACTTAAAAAAATTTTGGTACAAAACTTACTCGCTATTGTGGTGGTGCGTGTAGCTAAGTTATTATTCTAGCTTTAAATTTAAGGCAACAAAATTTACAAACACACATTATACTTACAACCCTTCAACCAATTTATAGGCATCCGTTGCCCATGTATCTTTCGGTTTAATTTTTAATAATTTCTTCAAGTCAGCAATTGATTCCTTATACCTTTTCATCATGTAATTAACTTCAGCATGATATCTTAGCGCTGTTATATTGTCTGGTTCGATTTCATATTTACCCAAAATAAAAAATATTTTCCCTCGATAGCTTAATTCAAATATATTATTTTGCTTGTTTTCTTCTAATGATCTTGTCAACTCATCAATTAAATCTGCAAGTGATTCTTCGTCTTTGTCTATAATTAAATAATCTTTTGTTTGGTATTTTAGTGAAAGTGTATTTTCGTTATTTGGCTTAATCAAGTTTTTTATTCTATTGATTATCGCAAATGGATTGTTATCTTCATTAATATTTTTGTATATAACTTCGTTGGTCATTACTATTTTTATAATGTAGTAAAAGTATATAAGTTTAAATCCATATTGATCACGTAGTGTTAAATAAATTTACCATAATATTTGAATTTTTTGTGACCGAAGTTCACTTTTACAGACCCGCCTTGCGATCTAAATCCAACACAGGGATATAAAATGCCTTTCCAATTATCAGGCAGATTGCACGCAATTCCTTGAAATAAATTATAATATTTAATTTCTATCTTATCAGATTTTGAAAATATAAAATTTAGTTCCTAAAGTGTTAATTACCCAAATTAATTCCATTTTTAGTATAAAATACTATCTTCGCCAGTAGTATATGTTGGTCCATACGACCCTACACTTCCAGAAAAAAAAATATTTCCATCATCACCATGGTAACCACATTCCACACGATTCATTTTCATTATTTTCATTATTTTCCTGTCCTAAAAGATATTATAATATAGATGTTAATATGTAATCATAAGAAATAATAATAAAATAAAAAATGTTAATGCCAAGCATAAGCATGTTCTTTATATAATCTGTTTTTTCATTTGAATAGTCTATTTTTTTAACATTTTGTTTCGTACAGTATCATTCTATTAAAAAATAGTATCAAATAATAATTAAAAAAAGATTGCAAGAATAAAAGTGTGTTATTTAATGAAATAATTATTAGTATTACCCATTTTTCCCTCTATTTATAATTTCAATTTCAAAGTAAAATATTCCACATCGTAAAGGGATTGGATGATTCGCTCGAATTATAGCAGCTTTATAATCATCATGATCTTTAATTGTAAAGTTTTTTTTTAATAAATTAGCAAGCTGTACGTTATTTACGATTAACACTTGTCAAATTGAGATGTTAATCCAATAAAATATGTTTCTGTAAAGATTCTCATTTTCATATTACCCGTATAATTCACTTTAAGGCCACTTGAATCTATCTTAATAAATGGTGACTTATCTTCAATATCCCATGCTGTCGGTAAAGCATCATCATTATGTGAATCTTCCATTGGGTTAATATTCGATGAGAAGCTTGAGAGAATCTTCAATGTGACAATTATTTGTTTTTTTTTTTTTTTAAATTTAGGATGGTATAAATTTGAAAATTGAATGGTTCTGTTATTTAGGCTTTTGATCAGAGACTGACACTAGTGAACAGAAATCACATAGAACTATTTGTACATACGTACGTACGGTGCAGGAAATTTAAAAGCTTCAATATTTCTATGTAGAGATGATGCATAAACTAAGTAGCAAATTGATCTCACCATAAACAAAAAACAATATGTACATAATGGGCATGCTTCTGGGAATGACAAATTTAGTTTATCTTCAATGATTAACTAACCTTTATTCTATATAACGATAAAGTCATTAAAGTTTTTGGATTTTCTGCACAGTACGTACTTGCATACTGATGCATATGTATCTATGCACATCAGCCGTCCCTAACGCTAATGCTCACACTAAAACTACAGTATCGCAAATTCTGGTTGTGCAGTAAATCTGTGCCCGGTTTGTTGAATATCTACTTAACCATAACCAATCAGATCATAGCTTTATTTGCGTTGATCCTTTAAGACTATATATTTATAGAGTTAAAATAAAAAAAAATTTATTGAATTTGGTTTAATAGATGGCGAGAAATCTTCGGATAAGTTCAAAAAATCCCTGAATATCTTAAAACTTGAATTTTTCTCTTTTTAAACTTTTAACGAAGATTTCTTGACATCCATCCATCAAAATTCGATGAATTTTTTTTATTTTAATTCTATGAATCTATAGAATTAATTTACCAAATTTGTATGTATAGTTGTCGAGAAATTCATTAAAAGTTAAGAAGGAAATTGCCGTAGTTTTTATTATAGATATTTAAACTTCGAACGGTGATTACACGACACTTACTGATCAAATTCGATCAAGGTTTTTTTTTATTTTAATTTTATAATTAATAGGATTAAAATAGAAAAAAAATTCATAGAATTTGGATAGAGATATCTTTGATCAAAGTTAAAGGAAAAATTCACCCGATTTTAGCTTTTTTTCTAATATTCGAGACTTTTACCGAAGATTTCTCAACAACCATTAAACAAAATTCAATAATCTTTTTTATTTAAATTCTCCAAGTGTATTTAATTAAAAAAAAAAACCTACCGAGTTTGATAAAAATTTTCAAATCTTAAAAGAATCGACGCAAATAAAGCCTGATCTGATTGGTTATGTTTACGCAGATATTCAAAATTTGTGTATAGTAATAATGTTTTGGTGATACTAATTGCAGTAATCGTTAATTAATGGCGGTTCTACAACAAAATCTCGAAAACCATTTTCCCGAAAGAAAATAATACCGACTAAATTGGAACAGGTGGAAACGTTGAACGTCATAAAATTGTTAAACAATTGATAAAAATTTTTTTTATATTATTTTACGGAAGGCTCGCTTGACTTATCTTTTATATGAACATTGAAAATAATTAAACAAACATGAAGCTCTCACTTTGCTTTACAACATATTTTTTGAATCCCCTTGAATCCCATGGTAATTTGATTGGTTGACTAATCCCGTAGTGATATTTTGACTGGTCGATACCTCCTGTTCTAAATTGGCCAGCATTATAACTAATGCCGGCTAACTTTGTCGGTATTAGATCCTTTCGGGAATCTGTCTTTCGGGATTTTGTGGTAAACCCTTAATGGAATATAATTATCTCCAATCAAAATATTCATATACTGTGTATTATTAATATTATATATTCATTAAGAATTTATAAATCAAATAAATAAGAGTAATTAAGTTGCAAATGTAGTAGCTAGTATAAAATTTATAAGAAAACTACTTAAATAGACAATCAAGTTGTGTATATAGCTAGCTATACTCTCATTGTATGTAAAAATAAAATAATACAAGTAAAAAAAAAAAAAAAAAAACTTAAAATTAGTTTATCCTTCTATCACTAATTCTCATAATAACTATTCCAGGGTAAAACAGGTATAGCATCGGGACTTAATTTCAATTTGCTTTTAAATAAAAACAAATCCTCAATTATCTCGTTATCCGATGATAATTCATATTCATTCTTATCATTCATTTCTACATTTTCATCTTTCTCTTCATCAAAAATAAGATTTACTACTTCTTTACATAATTTTTCTAACATAATTTCCACCTCTTTACTTAATTCTTGGTCATTATTCATATCACTAAGTTTTTTCAAAAATAATTTTTTAATTTCATTTTCAATTTCCTGAACATTTTTTCCAGCACTTTGAACCTTCAATATATCAATAGCACCCTTTAATTCTTCCTCCGTAATAATTGCGAATCCTTGAGAAGATATAAGTTCATGCAACTTTTTAATGTCAATTAAATTAAACCGTTTTAATAATTCAAGATTTTTGGATTTTAAGTGTATAGAAAGTTTTTTGTGAACACGTGAGCAAGGATTAATATAGGTTTTGTAGAATTCTAGAAGTTCGGCCTTTGAGATCTTACGTATGTTTGATACATCAGTTTCAACTATTAATTTAATAGTTAATAATTCAAGATGTTAATTAATATGGAAGTATACGTGAATTAACGAAATATGTACTAATATTAATTGTTAAACTACCTTTATTAAATTCATAATATCCAGAGCCGATATAGTACCAATATCTATAACTTTCTTCGCATAAATTTTTAGGTTTTTCCAATTTCTTACTGACCAAAGAAGCTATTTGCTTTTGGTACTCTTCTTCTGACATATCTTCAATTATTTTCTGATAGCCCAAAAAAAAAAAAATTTTAAACCAATATTGGAAATTATTACTAAAAGTCAAAAATATAATGTATGTTAGGCAAACCTCTAATTTAGTTAAAAATTCTTCGATCCTATTTTCCAAATAAATAGGATCTTTTTCACTCTGAATAACAATTCTGAATGCCATTGAACCTGTTATTTCCTCTGTCATACTCCATACCAAATACCCTAATAATTATATAAGATAAAAACGTTACTTTTAGTCAAACTCTGGAAAATAATTTTACAAAATTAATTTACAAACCCAATTGTTCTTTAGTTCTAAGTTGATCAAAAGAAGGTTCTTCAGAAATCTGCCCTACTAGTGCCAACTTGGCTCTCAATTCTCTGTCCATTACATCACCAATTTGTACATAATATTCTATAGCACTGTTAATTTCTTTTTCATCCGGAACATCCATTGTGTAAACGAATTTTTTTCCATCAGGTATACACACACTTCTATTTCCAATCAATTGTGATTTCAAAATTTCCTCAGATGGTTTCAATGTGTCCTCTAAAATTTTAATCATATCTAACGCATCTTTTCGACTCATATTTCCATGAATAAACCCCTCAAACATTACTTGATCAAATAATGTCGGATAAAATTTTTGTACGTCCTCATATTTGATTTTCTCTAATAATTTACTTTTTTCTTTATGTGTCCATAATTTTTGTATGATTGCATACCTTTTATAATACATGGCTTGATAATTTGGAGAATCAAGTGAACGATTATCATATGTCCTTTTTAATTCTTCTTTTATTTTTTGAAATCGATTTGGATCAATTTGAATTGATTTCAACTTTTCAACAACTTTACGGAGGAGCAGAGGTGACTTATCATTATAACCTTGAACTGATACAACTATTCCTTCTTCATGAGTGTAGAGGTAATAAACAAGACCTGCGATCTCGGCATCATATGCATATTCTGTAAATGCGTCAACTACAAGATCAACGTATAATCGAGTTTTTACAGAATTTAGAGGTGTAGAATGAGTTATTGGGCTGTTTATAATACATTGAAATATATTGAATATTAGTTACACACGGCAAAATGTAAATGCATGCTTCATATTTGAGAAAATAGTAATTTAACTACCTTCTTATTAAAAAAAGCGCATCAACTTTAGGTATCCAAAATGTATCATCCTTTTTGTACCAAAGACGACTCAACATCGTGTCTTTGATAAGATCGGGACGTGTACGTGGCTAATAAATAAATTAAATTATAAAATTAATTACGAATAAATAGTAATGTTCATTAATGTCAATAAAATAGCATTGTATAATTAAACATTACCGTAATATTTGTAAGTTTATTGACTTCAAAATTTGAAGGAATAAAAATATTTGACGGATGGATCTTAAGATCAGGATTAAGTTTTGGATTTTGAATTTTCTGCAAAAATTTCCTAGAGATTAGTCATAGTAAACCCGACAAAACCAATTCAATTTTTATCTATCCCAGTGTAATAATGGATACCTTTGAAAGGTTTTCGCTAATCGGTTCCATCTTATATTCGACACCGAACCATCTTTCCTTTTTATCAAGTCCTTTTAGTAATTTACTAGATAAAGTAATAATACATTTATCCCAACACAAATAATTTAATCCTTCCATGATAAGTTCTGGATTATATTCGCGAATTAAATGGGGACCACTTAAAACCAATTCACGCGGATATGGACGTTGCATATATACAGCAAGCTCTGAAGCATAGTAAGCTGGAGAATATTTTTCTTGAAATCTGAAATCTATCGATGCAATTGATTGAACCTAAATTATTTTTATTAATACATACATATGAGTTTTTAAATGTAAGTTTAAAGAAAATAAAGAAATATTAACTGATGTCTTGCCTCACGGAAAACCCGCTCTTGTATACCCTCTTGTTTTAACATTTCAATATATTGGAAACAAATCTCGACTATTTCCTCATGATGAGCTATAATAAAATACAAACATATTATATTAAGTAAAAATCATTCTATAATACGTTATGAAGTCCATCTAAATGTGATTTACCTAGCCCTTCTTCAGTAAGGTCAATCGATATTTTAAACACCTCAAATCCAACATATTGGTGACTTCTATAAGAACTCAACTTGTTTGCCCATCCTGAGTTTTTTATATGTATAATTAATATAAAAATAAAGAAAAATATTTTCTTCTATATTTTACATACCTTTCTTCTTTAACAACGACAAAACTGATCCAACACCTTCATGTCCAATCAAATGACCAAGATATCTTCCAGGCTACAAAGCAAAAAATTTAAACATATAATTTTGAAAAAAGTCATCTTAACATAAATAGTTAAAATATTATATAAATCATACTTTGGTTCTATAAAGGGGTTCTTGGTCAGGAAATGGAAAAGTTATTTCTAAACAGTGATTATCTTTAACAGGTTTCAATGAGATGAGATTCTAATTGCAAAATAGACTAATGTTAGTACTGTACCAACAGCTTTTATACTAAAAATATATATTTAGTAATAAATAAATTTACCCCTATTTCATCATCAGTAATAGGATAACTATCTCTAGGAACTGGTATAGGAACCGACTTATTTTTAACATTCGAGAATTTTTCTACAACCCATTGATTCAATGTATCTAAGGGTTCTGTATTACAAAAATACGTTAATACACCGTTGCTTAAAATATCAATTATATATTACTATAATAAAATTTACCTCTCCCTAAAACAACTAATTTCATTAAATTAGCGGAATAGTAACTATCATGAAATTTTAATAATTCCTCTCTAACACTCAGCCCAGCTTTCGAAGGAATATCTTTTAAACTTTCAAGATTTCCTATACCGAATTGTGAAAATGGATTATTTGGATTCGATAAAGATTTTTCAAGTTGATATTGCCTCCATCCATCTTCTTGAATATTAAGTTTATATTCTATTTATGAAAATTTAAATGTTAATATGATATCTGAAGCGATATTTTTTGCAAAAGTAACAGCATGTACAAAAATATTTACCAGAGTCAACAGCTTTTAATTCTCTATCAGTACAATCATCATTGAATAGAGGACAAATAAAAAATTGAGCAAATCTGGATAATATAAAAATGATTAATATAAGACACAATAATTACTAGAAGAAAAAAAAATTCAATTATAAATCAAGTAATTACCTGTTTAAAGCCCCCTCCAAATGTTCATGCCCAACATCAAAATAATAGTTTGTATTATCAATGCCAGTGTACGCATTACTTGATCCATTATGTTTTGTTAAATACTACATTTGAAATTTATGAAATAGTTCAGGAAAAAGAATGTTGACTGTTATTAATTTATATGTTAACCTCACAAATTGTGGAGATTAGTTTATGAATTACCTCGTTATAATCATTTTCTTTGGGATACTAAAATAAAAAGAAAATAAAAATAGAAATCAGATGTACTTATATTGATTAAGTTGTTCAAGGGTCTGCAGGTTAAATATTCTCGATTATTACATCAAGATCACGAGAGAATAATACTCTGAGTCATTATGTGTACTAGCGAAAACTAGGATGTTACGGTCCGGTCTTGGTCCTAAAGACCGGTCCTACCAGAGGACCGCGGACTGGACTGTGGTCCATAAATCGGTCTATTGGCTAGTTTTCAAAATAAGCTATGTGGTTTTAATGATCGCTGCATATAAAAAAAGACCTTACAGCTATCATCATAAATCCTGGAACAATTGAAAAAATTGCCAATGACCTAGTGATGCAATAGAATCACCCCAATGATTTGTTGTAACTAGTTGCGATATAAGTTTTTAGTTAGTTATGGCTTAAGCCGTAACTTTGGGATGATTCTACTGCATCACAGGCTGACATTGATACCGGTCGTCGACATTTTTTTATTTTTTTTTTTAGCCAATAGGACCATTCTATAGGCTATGAACTGGTCCTCAATTTAGGACCGAAAACTGGTTAGACTGGCCCAAAAGACCGGTCCGGACCATGGTCCTTGCAGGACCGTAACATCCCCCTTTTTTAATAATGTTCATTGACTCAGAATATTATTACTAAGTCACACTCCCAAGTAGAAAATAAAATTTTGCATACCTTTTCAGTTCCCTATGAATTATAAAAACTATTTAATCACATGATGCTTTTAAACAAATTCTCGATGCAAAAATTTTTATAATTAAGAAAATCTCACCATAAACAACAAATGTTCACAAAAATGGGCAAGACCTTGAAGATTCGGCTAAAATTTCCATACAAGTCAAGAATCGAAATTAAAATAAAAAAAAATTTACCGTTACGATAATTTGATGAAAAAAAAATTTACCGGATCACAAATCTGACCAACATGAACATCTATTGCAGCACTACTTTTGTCAGTTTCACTATCAGAAATTAGCAAAACTTCTAATCCGTTGGCTAATATAATAAATCGATATTCTCGATCATCATTTTCAGATTTTTCGGGTGGTGTTGATAATGTTGCATATGTTTCATCCGCAGAAATGATGAAATTTGGAGATAGATTTTCGAATGGGGTAGACATGATTTTAAAGAATAGAGAGTGAAAATCAGAAACACTATCCTTTATATATTACTCCGATTCATGCTATTGGAAAACGCTCAATTTTATATTTCCATATTTGGTACTTCTGTACTTCATGACCGAAATAGTCTAAATTCGTAGTTTTGGCAAAGTAAATACTCCGTTGAATGAAGCGGAGTTATTACGAGAAAGGGATAATATTCCCAATTTAAAATTATGGTTTAATTATGTAGCGTTTATATGACTGACTTATGGCAGCTAGCGGGATAAATAAATCATTACAGCAGTTTTCATAAATTCTGGGACAAGCATTCGGAAAATGTGTAATGACAAGATGATGTTAGTAAAATTTCAAATTTATAACTTTAGTTGCTAGCGATAAATATATAAAAGAATAAATTCCGGTTGATAGTAGGGGGTTTCAGAGTTAACTTATTTTGAAAATAAGTGGGAGTTTGTAAAGTTCTATTTTTGGTTTGAAATTTCTAAATCAGAAAATGAAATAGGAATTGAGATAAAATAAACCATCTTTTTTTTTTGTTAAAGAAAGTTTACGATCGTAAAAGTATTTATTATTATATACCGGGTGGGTGAAAAGTTCCTGAACAGGACCTTTTTTACTATCTCTGCTTATAATAAATTTTTTTTTGTGTATTTGCAATATAAATAACTATTAAAATAGTAGCCAACATGCATCATTTAGTGACTAACAAAAAGGTTCCTTTTAACCCACTCGGTAGACAACTTACAAATAAAAACAAATGTGATTTATAGATCACTGATTTCTGAATGAATACGTTACTAATTTAATTCAACCTGAACCTTAACTCTGAAACCTTCCAGTAAGTATTAGTGTTGAGAGGTTATCAGATTTAAGAATATTATAAACTACTAGATTTATATATCGGATTTAACAGTACATAAAACTAACATTTTTTTATTATTTTATAAATTGTATTTTCTTTATTTTTTCATACTTTTTTATTTGTTGTGACGAATTTTGAATTTTTACTGAAATAATACAGTATATCGAATTGTTTATTGTCATACTATTTGTTATATCTAGTTATAAGTGAGTATACTATTTGTTATATCTAGTTATAAGTGAGTATACTATTTGTTATATCTAGTTATAAGTGAGTGAGGGAATTTTTCGATTGTGCAATTTATTGTTATTTACAAATTTAGTCAATTTTGATATGTTTCACAGTCGCTACAACTTTTGAAAAAGAAAAAGAAGATAAATAATATATAAAAGTAACGAGATCACATCGTTTTTTTTTCATTAAATTGAGATTCTACCTTTTAAAAAATAAGTGAATTCATACATTATTTAATCTAAAATAAAATGGAAACAGAATCATTTTGCTTAAAGTAATCAAAATCCCATATCACAATATGTGTTAGACTCACTACCAGCTATATTGACAATAGACGTAACACCATTTAAAGGATGTTTTGATTGTCCGTTTACTATTTTTGCAATATCAAAAGTACTAAAGAAGCAATTTGTGCATATTGGCTATCAAAAAAATGATTTTGTTGAAGATCAAGATGAAAGTCCACCTGTTAATAACAAAAGGTTAAGTGTCGGATATGTATTTTTATTTTCATTATTGTCTCCTTGGTTAGCAGTACTTGTAGCATATTTTATACGTCCAGTTGGATTTTTCTGACGAAGTAAATTTTTGACAATAATGTGTTCAGTATGGTCACTTAATAATGAATATTTTATTAATACTCTTCTTGTTAAGTTAGCTTTCATTATTAATTTAAATTGTATTTAATTTTTATATAATTTAACAAACGCATAATATGTATACAAATATCATTTTGACTGTTCTCTTTTTTACCTGAAGTAGAAGAAAGTAGTTTAATTTTCATGTAAGGAACTTATCGCCAATACAGTAGCTTTTACCTATTATAAATTAAAATGTTAGATAAATTTTATATAAAATAAATTTAATTAATAGCTAATTAATAGCTGTGTTAAAAGAAACATTTTGATATAACGATAGACCTTCGGGGAATTTAATTCCCACAATTTGGGACAAACAAACTTTGCTACACGGCCTCTTCGGCCTCATCCTAAAAATTACAATAACTCTTTGGGAGTTATGTCTATATTCAGTTCAAAAACGGCTATATATCAGATATGTACAGTACACTAGTGGTGATGCCGACATAACATTTTATCGATAAACTTTA